CATATATATGTATATATATGTATATATATATATATACAAATCATCTATCAATTCTATCGACACATTCGCAGAATACACGATCCCTCGTGTATAAGAGTGTGGCATACAATTGACACAAAAAACCCCGAGTAATTGGTTGGTCAAAAACTGGTCGTGAAGTTTTCAGAAATTTATGTAGAATCAACTATTCTCGTCTAATATCTCCCCTATCTCTTCATCCGCCAGAAGATCGTGTGCATGAGTTCTCAATTTTGTCAAGTCTATGTATTCTTCCGTGGAGTTTTCTAAGAGCTTCTCAAAGTCGGGAGGCCCTTGTGCCAGCCCGGGTATTTGCGTGAAGAGCATGTCATCCAATTCACTATCTGAAAGATGGAATATAAGGATCCAACGTGTTAGTGTCAATAGATAAGTAAATGAACACTTAGTTACACAATTATTCTGAACGCGAACGACTATAACACTGCGAATAAGTAATTCAGCACGAAACACAAAACCCTACAACCCTCCACCCGCAACACACCGATTTTTTTCCTGAAGTACTCCTCCCGGCTCAGCATAGGAGTTTGCTCGACATTCTCTACTTCATTCGCAAACTTCTGCAAACTTTGAATTTGCTGCAGTGTATGCGTTGGAGGAAAGGGGTTATTGGCCACATCAAAAGTACATAATATATCGGACTGATAAGCCAGTTGCAATATTCTGGACTCCTCGCGCAGGTAGGTCGTAGTGAGTGCATAATAGGCGACGCCAACATACCCAGAATGTTGCTACATCAAATTAGTTGTAATTAGGCCTTTACGCATACCCATATACTGATGTGTGTCTATTTCTCGTGACAATTTAGTTTAAATAGTTCTCATAATCCAAATGGATTGTAATAACTAACATGAATACAGACTTACGTGTACATCACGAACGGAATATCTTATTTTGAATATCACACACCTTCTCGAGCCGTACGATGTTTAAGTGAGCCTTTGCCCGAAGCATATCAGTGGTCTTCCCTTCCTTTATCCTCTCCCATCTATACAGCTGATGTATTCGAGTACAAAAACATTAGTGCGAGGCTCGAGTAACGAATGGCGAAACATAGCACGCTATAACCGCAATTTTTCTTCAATACTCAGAGCACTACCTAGTTAGCCTAAACAGACCGAAAAAGAGACAAAGATCCCAAACATAAATCGATACTTCGGTTGTAAAGTCAAGTTATTTGTCTCTGGGTGAACGAACGTGTGTGTTTATAGCCCGCATATATATATGTACACCTCGTTGGTGACCACTGCATCAGCGTCCATTGATATATTCCTGCTCTCGTCTCGTTGTTTTCGGAGCTGAATGATACGGAAATCAAGATACAATCGATCTGAGAACTAGTTCGCTAGATATTGACACAGTGTGGCGAATAAGCACCTGTATTGCGCGCGTGCTTCGTCTTTATAGTTGACCAAACTATGATGACAGGGTGACATGTCAGAACGTGCGGAAGTCTTCGTAGACCTTAAAGTGGTGATTGCCAATGAAGCCAACTCCTGCTTTACGTTCTCGTGTATAGCATATGGAAACTGAGTGTAATGACACTCTCAGAAACAGCAACGCTGCAAGACTGAATGTGGAGGTACGCTATGTTGTCGGCAAATGGTGAGCAGTGCACAAGCTGGCTGCATGTGTTTGTAAGGATGAAATATTAGCTGAAAATACTTGACACCCATACCTGCTTTATTTTAATATCTAATTGCGCAAGATTCTCTTGCTTCAAAGTCTCTGCCGGCGTCCCGAACATTCTCGCCAGCGACATTGTTGTCCTCTATTAGGCGAATAAACGAGGTATTGGGGAAAATGCCGTTCGATCGGGCTGAGTTGGAGCGTCTCAAATGCATAACTCAATACCAAAGTTTTACATGGACTGAGATTGAAAGTATATAGCAAAACTTGATCCCGGCAAATTTTCTGATATGACTCCTACGTCGCAAATTTCTACTTTTAGAACCAGATTTATAACCGCTTCCTATAATGAGTGTATCGACGGCAGCAGCGCCCTTTCATATCCACAAACTTCTTTCACTAGAGCGATAGAAGTGATACTGGAAGAAAACAGTCAGATAGTTTCACGATCAGCTCGCACGTACCTCTCCTTGCTGCGTAGCATCCCTATCAACTTTTGCTAGATCCAGTTTCTTACTTTTATATTGACAATCGAATTGCAGGTCATTCCGCCTCGTCAAGATTTTCTGTTGCGGGATTATTGGCTTGCGAGTTAGTCCTTAAAATATGCTCGCATCGATATTCAGAACCAGCTCTGCCATTCACGGAATCCACTCTCAAAGATTGATATAACCAGGTAAACATTGCATCTCAACAAGACTACTGCCAGGAGATAATTTTATTCAACCCGTGAGGTGCCCAGTGGAGGTAATCTTCATGTTCATGTACACTAGCCTTGAAGAGGTAGATATACCGAGTACATAGCTGACGACTTGCGCGTAAGGAACGTCGGATTGTGGAATAGTTTTGAATTTGAGGCTACAATGAGCCCTGGTTCAAGAGATCACAATGCAAACACTGTATCGTTTGAATTTAAACCATGAGCGACCGCAGCTAAGTGGATTGAGTGTGTATATGGTTTATTCTACGAATCAATAGAAAAGAGGAACAGATCACTTCCCGACAGAATCTCTTCAAGATTATGCTTAATAAGCAACAAATTAACACCGGTCATACGAAAATCATTCCATATAATGTGTTTTAATATGAATTGCATGCGAATTTGGCACAAATCAGTACATTCACACTCAATGTTTCCAAAGTCCAATAGAAGCACGTGATAGAAGCTATAAAATCTCGACAAACCGATGCACTTGCGATCGCTTGAAGAAGGTGATACTAGATTTACACTCTCACAGTACTTCTCAAAATCAATAAGCAGGTTGTTCCATCGCAAGCAAGCATTTGAGCGTCTAAACCAATACACCCATTTGAATTGCACATATCTTGATGAAATGCACGTACACCTCCACCACTATAGAGCGCCAACTTTGCTCATGAACCATTAAATCCCGTTAAGTATGTATGTATATTTGGTCGGTATACAGACGATTAGTCTGTGTATAATTGGTTCCTCTACCCATGTTCTAGTGTGCACTCGTGTGCTATTGTTTGCCTCCACGTATACACAATCAAGCGCTCATACGTACTCATGAATCACACACCCGTACGTACCTGCACAGCCCGTCCGTAGCCCGCCAAATCTTGTATGGGCCCCAAAACATTTACCATCTCGCCGTTCATCAACTCCGTGTCGATATCGATTGACTCGTCGTGGTGCTTAATAGCTAAGTCTAATAACGGTTTTAGATTCGGTTCGACGTCACCAACTGTCGCCAGGCTTTTACAAATCTGCCGTTCGGAATTAATGGAATCTGGAAAGTGCAAGAATTAGGACGTTCATGAGATCACGCTGTCGAGTTGTGAGGTGGAACTCTGGGTGCGGAATGATAGTTGCTATATTACAATCTGAAAAAGCATAATGATGCAGCTCTTTACAAATGATCAATCATACGATTCATATGGTAATAGCAAGAATGTGATCGCTTTTTGATGCAGCTCTTTACAGATGATCAATCATACGATTCATATGGTAATAGCGAGAATGTGATCGCTTTTTATGGGGAGTCTAGCGTACGCTAGCACGCGTTCAGGTGGTAGCGATTGCCAGGATTGTATAGCCACGATAAAGACAAATTACATCTCTGTTCTTCAAACGAAATGGAATCTGGCACCGTTGCGATATATGAATACAAGTTCTGACAGCCGAATTTAGCGCTCTCAAAATGGTCGTGAGAATACTACGAGTAGTACTATCCACAAAAGGTGTGAACCAGAGACATACATATTCACGATATCATACATGATCAGCAATACATTTCATTATATTACAGTATCGTTGATGTAAATAAAAAAATATTCACCAATAGTACCGATATCCCTCTGTGTTTTGTTTTTGCACATGTACAATGAAGACTACCCAGTCCTACCGAATCTGATGTGCCCTGATTTCTGTTGCAGACGATAAAGCGATTCCATTTGCAGAACGGCATGAGATGACTTCTCCAGCGCCTGCTTAAACTACACAAGAGTGATGTGTTGTTAAAGTTTGAACACATCTGCCCTCGAGATATGTATAGGCTCAAAAGTAAATCCTGTACGCGGAAACGTATCTACATGTCTATTATCTCGATCTACAGACAAGAACTTGCAATTGTTGGAAATAGAGCAGAACCCAATCTACACATCACATAACATACAAATAAACAGGTGTCGAAGAGCACCCGACCAGAAATATAGTTGTAATACGATTTTGCTAGCAACCAAGACTAAGTTAAGTTGTATTTTTATCAGCATCCTAAGGAGGCATACATTGCACAAGTGAGAACTAGCGGAAGGCTCACACTTGCAGAATATCTTTGGATGCCGACAAATTCTGATGTTACACTCTAGCACTTTTCACACAATGCAACAGCGTGTCTATGCATATAACTACAGCATTTAAACAAGATATCTCTGACTATCATGCCATCAGATGAAAGTAGTTTCTTAGAAAACAATATTGAAGTTGCCAAACCCGCGGATGTGGAAATAGAGTACGGCTTCCCTCGCAGCGACAATTTGTGTAGATGAGCAAGCGAGGCTATCAACACGCACATGACACGTACCACCTAGCAGTAACAATAAAACAATAGCTTACCTTTAGCGGGATTTCTTTTGGGTGCCCAATATTTATGTCCGGAGTTTTTTCAAAATCACTTGTTCGACTCCATTCCTGTATATAAATGAATAAATAAATAGATACATAAATAAGTAAATAAATATATATATAAATAAATACATAAATAAATTTTATATAT